ACTAGTTTCCTCTATGAAAATCAAATTCCTCGATCCATTGGTTGCAAAGCAAATTGCTGATATGCTTGATTGGGCGGCGCTGTTGGCTTTAATTGCATTCCTTTTAAAAATTCTACTCAGAGTACTTGATCTTTGATATCCAACATAATCACCCTAAATTGAGCAAATAAATGATGAGATATTGTATTGCCGGTTCGGACCTCAATTCCTTGTTTCCAGGAGGTCAGACGCGTTGCGGGCTTTTTCGTTTTCTTTCTTCGGTCTTTGGTTCTTTCGTAGTAGATTTCGTTTTTGGTGATATTTATACGATTAAGATTCGATAGTTTGTCCTTAGATATAAGCCATGTAATTACGGTTTATACAAATCAATATGATTAAACATTGTATATACAAAATTTGTGATAAATTTTTTAGGAAATGTGTTCATCGAAGACAACATTGGTGAAATAGCGCAGAGCCTAAGTGCATAGATACCGCTGAAGCTTAAAGCAACAATTCCAGATCGAATTCGCGGGGTAAAAACTGTCGATAATGAAATTGTGGATATCGAGTTGACTGCAAATGGAAAAAAGCAAAGAAAACCGCCGATGAAGTTTCAAAAAGACTCCCCCTTCCCTTTTGAAATGAAGGAAGGGGCGTGTCGGACGAGCTGTCCAACTAGCTTGCTCCGCCGGCATTTATTGCTGGCTCGTGCCAGCAAGAAATGCGGCTGCAATCGCATATGCACCAATACAAACAGAGACATATGCATCAGTACAAAAAAAAATATGTGATTAATGAGTTAAGCAAGTAAACCGTTCAAAAAGAGGCAGGACAGTATACGCGCAATAGCGCAAGGACCACGAAGCCAATCAAGAGCGATCTTTTTTCTCGCTAGCAGTGGCGAGCAAAGGATTGGGGAACGACCACTGGCGCAGGGTGAATATCGTCGAGGAAATCCTCGACAGGGGGTCGTACTTGTCAGGCTGGGTCATGGGGGTCGTACTCGTTGGCGTCAGTAACATCAGTGGCATCGTAGTGCAGATAGGAGCAAGAGGGTGTAGCGCAGCAGAAGGAAGATATGTGAGAAAAATGATATAATGTTCTTTGGTTCAGTTCTCCATTCCTCTATCTTTATTAGAAGGGCGTATTTGACAGCAATACAAAGGAAGGAAGTGCATCCCCCAAGCAAGACAGCCACATATGCACGCGCGCTGCATGCCCCTATCTACCGTCCGCCATCGTACATAATACCGGTAATAATAGTAATAATGGCACTGTTGTTAGGGACCCTGTCGCAAAAACGACAACAGTGAAGAAAAGGCTCTGAGCAAATGAAGCTGTTTCTCAGGCGATAAGAGTTACGAAATGTGTTTACTACATTGCACTTTCTGTCAACTGGTCGTGATCATATAACACCTTTCAATCGATTCTGCAACTTCGAGTGAAGGCCGTATGCATGGCCTGTACCCAGGCAGAGTCGGATGATGACGATTGCCCCTTTTCGTATTGCTTATTTCGTAAAAACGTATTCTAGACACATTTCTAGCGTTGCCAACGAATTACACGTGCAATGGTGAAGAAGGGAGCGGCTTTCCGAGCGGCCGAGAATCATCCTCGATGGATCCTCGACGCAATTATCTCCTCAACTAGACATTGTAGAAGAAAGCCAAACACACCATCAGAAAGCGCAAACCTTCCGCTTCCCAAAACTACCTTCCCTTTCCTCAATATCTCACTATATTAGTGAGATATTGAGGAAGGGAAGGGCGTTTGAAGTGGCGAAAACTCGCGCTGAAAATTTCAGCCTCCTTGACGCTGACTCGACGCAGATTGAGAGACCATATCTTTCTGCATGGAAGGCTTTCAGAGCAATTTCAATACTTCTTGAAAACGCGAAATCCAGCTCTATCTAACCCTACCTCAAACTGCTTCAAAGGTTATGAAATGGAGGAATGCAACCTTTTCATCGAGGGTGTAGATTTCGACGATTTTTTTCGCGATTTCGGCAAATCTGACCCAATGAAATCGCGCCGCACCTACCGATGAATCTGCTGTTGAGCGATACACTCGGCTGTTGTGAATACTCAAGCAGGAATTATGATTCAGTTGCAACCCGTGCAGTGAGGATTTTCGTGCATTTCTAAAGGAACCTGCTTCTGGGACCACACAGAGTTCTTGCCTCCTTCCTCCAGTCCATATTTCAGATTTGCAGCGATGAGAGAAAGTGTAAGGAGGACAATATTATTATTACCATTACTAATACTACTCATTATTTTATTTACTATCACTATTGCTTTTTATGTTATTACAATATTATTTTGCAGGAGTTTTTTTATTTCAATTGCTGAAGTGGATTAATTGCGTATGCTCTGTTTTAGGGGGTCGTGCCAAGACCTCGATTTCAGGGGGGGGGGGTCGTACCTCCGCGACCACGTCCTCGACACGATTTTCACCCTGAAGTGGGTCTCTTCGCAGCGAGTTTCCAGGTGAATTTTTTGATAATTACACTTTCGATGTTTCTTTGATCTAGGGCTAGCGCATGTTTCCGCACCGACGTCCTGCGGAACTGTTGCTTGTCAGCTGCTTCATTCCACCCCTTCACAGAGAAAGTTTCATGTACGCTACTATAGGGCGTGACCTATGTCGCCTGAACACAATAGAGTCAACCGCCAATTGTGACACTGAGCCAGTCTCAATCTTTACGACGCTGGCCCAACTTATGAACACTCATGACCCAATTAAAAAGGCCTGCAAGTGAACTTCATCTTTTGTTTTTTTTTGTCTCCATTAACCAAGCCGTAAAGATTCCAAAACCCTACTCTACACGAATTTTTGTTCATCACTCTTTAAAAATTAGAGCATGCCCCCCACCAACCGCGCGGCTTGCTTCCTCGTGCGTTGCACATTTTGTCGCGTGCTCCGTCCATCCCCCAAAGACCACATTTCATAATAGCACTAGTCTGCGCCGCTCCACAAACGTACAGATTTGACAGATTATATATAGGAGGGCTAGGAAAAGAGAGGGCGATGTGGTATAGTGGTAAGTGGCATACACATACCTTTTAACCATGGTCGCGCTGATCGGGATCCATCAGGCATTCGTCCAGACCAATCGAAAGCTTCTTTTAAATCCCAGTCGCTTACATAGTACAGATTGACCTGGAGAATAAATAACTCCTGCCTCGACTCCAGGAAAAGTCGTATCAAAACTCTCCCACAATGACATTAAGGGAAGAATGCGTGCGACATACCGCGAAACGAATTGATCAAGACCTGCTTTATCCTTTTATCTTTAATGGAATGAAGGTTTACTGTTCCACATTCAAGACATGATTAATCTCGCTTATCTGAACTCAAACCGGATGTTTCCAACCTGAAAATTGTAGGGCTAATCTGAACGTTAAAGCAGCTACATAATAGGCTTCCACACGGGTGACAATGTACCACGTTGCTACGGAATATGATAACAAGTGCTGAAGCTGATGAGCCTCCAGGATCGTGGTTTACCACGAGGGTGATCGCTATGGTGCAGCAATGGGTCTTGCATATTTGAGAGCTATGTACTTTCTCTGGGGAAGTCTCTCCTTATGCAATTACCACATGAAGAAAATCTTATAGCTGCTTCTGTTGGATATTACGGTAGTCTCTTTAGTTCGAGCAGGATTACAGAGTGACGTCGCAATTGTGAAAAAGGGTGAGAGATTAAGTAGGCTTGCTTTTGCCTATAGAGGGTGATAACTGGGATATTTCGCCGTAAGAGTTCCGTCACAGCGACATCCTACGCGAAGAAAATTTCGTTGATATGCGGCATGGGCAAAAGTCGTTTTTAAGCACCCCCCACCCTCACCGTGTAGTAGAGATATTCGTAGGGAGGCTATCGTGTTGGAGTAGCCAAATAGACGACTACGTCAAAGAGACCGCAACATGAGATTCACATCTATAAAGTCTGTACAATCACAAACGTATCTAGCAAGAAAGTAGCAGGATTTAAATAAGGATTTTGGTAAGGAACGGTAGAAATGCAAAGGACAAACAGGCATCATTAGTTCCCTAGCAATTAGTTCTCTACATGGTCGCTAGGCCCCACCTTTACATTTTAAACGTTCCATACCCCTTATGTCAGGCTTCTGCTCTCACTTTTCTGATGAGGATTCTATGTCTTAGGTACAAAACAAAGAACACGATGCTGACTAGAAGAAGGAAGACGCCAACAGCAATATAAGAGAAAGCGAGAAATGGTCGCCGTGCTCCAATCCAACTCTCTCGAGTTATGATAAACGACTTCTCAGCACCTTTCCATTGGGCAGGATAGTCTGCAAAAGGGTGTAAAGAAGTAGGCAGCAACAATATACTTCGACACATTGTGGACCACCCGTTGTATGAGCACCTCAGTACTTCTTTTAAATTTTTCGAAGAGGAATCATCATTTATCTAAAAACAATTTGATCAGTGATGACAAGTATAGCTTTTCGGCCTTGAAAATGAGTGCAGACAGTTCAAAATGTCAAGTAAATCAAATAAAACTAAGTTCTGTCGTATGGGATCATGCACCACATGGTGGCGCACGCGGTGCGCAATGTGTTAAATATTCGTAATATGAGTTATATTAGTTGCAAAGTATCAAAAAAGGGACCAAGTAGAAAATTCAAGGAAACTCAATTGATACCCTTACTAGGTTTGAGGCTCATGGTACATTCCGCGATGAAATACATATAAGAGGAAGCGCTTTGTTACGTCCAACAGTGAAAGCGTTTATGATATATAAGGTTTGGATTTAATGAAGAGAAACATCTAGACCTTTAGAAACATATTGCGAAGCAGTCGTATGGGTGGATCCCCCCCCCGTACCCTACCATTGGTTGGTGTGCCGCTTTATTTTTTTTCTGCGTCAGGATTAAGGGGTGACCACTGAGAACGTAGGGGTAATGCGGGATCTTGCATACTGTTAACACATAAAAGTGACCTTATGAGCCTTTGCCAGTTCTGTTTACTAGTTTTATGACTGTTCAACCATAGAGTAACATGAATGCTCATTTTTGGACGTAATAACCTACTCCTACAATCGCGGAATGTGCCCACAAAGAGTATGACATCATTTCAAAAATAGGTTAAAAACGGGCAAAATCAGGGTCAACCGTCCGTTCGAACTGTTCGAACGAAGGGGTCGCATTTTGGTCGGAAGGGGGTCGCAATTTCGAGGACCCACGGCCGCAATCACGGCGGTAGCATCATTGGTCGGTGGATGGAAGGGTGGGAAGGAAAGCTCACAAAGAAACTTGGATTAGTCAATTGAAATTGGAAGTTCCAAATGCCAGCCACGGGCGCGTGCGTGGCGTATCCGAGGGCAAGAATTGCTTGTGCAGACCGCATTAGATTCGATTTATTATGCACAGAGAGACAGTTTTAGGCAAATTACGGTGTTTTCCTTAGGAATAAAGAACAGTTGAATGCATCCCTATGAAAGGTTTGACTTCTCGGGGCTGAAAATAAAGTTCTTCGGGACCTAATTTTTTGGGACGCTTCTTCCAGAGAACTGTAAACATATAAGAAAGCAGAAATCTCGTAGTCTTCAAAAATGTCTTCGCCCCTCCCCAACAAGCTCTTTGAAGGAAGTTATTATTGCTGAAAGCTCAAAAACTCGCATGTGCTGCTCAAAAACCTATGGGAACAAAATGTTCGAACGTGTGATTTTCTCGGAAAATGGATTTTGAAAAACGGTTTGGTGCTTGTTAGAAAGAGCAAATCCTGTACTTTCACCCCATGAAAAAAGTGCATCACAGAAATGAAAATGAAGTGAGTTATGGTCGCTGAAAGCCCAAAAACTCGCTTTTGCACGGAAAATGTTGACAATTTTTTGAAAAAGGGGACAATCACTAAACTTTTTATACTGTTTTGTTAGAGAAATATTTGAAGTTTCTGAAACTTTTTACAGATTTCCAAAATGTCGCATACGAAAGATTTTATGGGCCTTCAAAGTTGAAGGTGCGCCTTCTTAGAATTTTGGGTTTTCCACTTCTAACAGAAGTACTTTCCGGAGAGTTAGGCAATCCTTGTAGTTTTCTGAAAGCGCACCTCAGGCACAATCAAAATCTACCTCAACAAGTCAAAAAAGTACGTCCCAAGAAAGTTATTCCCCTCTAAAATTTTTTCTTCGCCGCGTCCCGTTCTTCCAGCGCCCGGGTGATACCTGCCGCGCTCCAAGGCTGACGCCGCAACGCAGACGACGGCGCAGACGCTTTCTGGCGCAACGGATTCATGTCTAGCACTCTTATTAACAAAAACAGGGGGTCGCAACTGGACCCCCTCGAGAGCTAGGGGGTCGCAAAAATCCCGAAAATGTTCGAACGTGACGGTTGACCCTGGGCAAAATATGGAAAAGTATAAAACTGGGTTGACCATAATTTCTGGCCGATTTTGGTTCAAATTCAATTTTCTTCATGTCAAATTAGCTTCATAACGAAATAAGTTGATATGTTGAAGAACACATCAGGACCTTCAGCCAGGATGTTTCAGAAGCTCAAATGCGCAAGGGATAATTAAGTAGGAATCAAAATAGATCAACGACCAAACCCAACGATTATGCCTTACGACAATTTTAAGAAGAACCTTGCAAGGAGCGCGGTAGGCAAGATCAGCGCTACGTTTGCCCAGTCTTTGCTACTGATCGGAGCACTGAGCTATTGGCTCAATAGCATCGGCAAATACGATAGGAGCTGCAAAGTTCGACCTCATCATGGACCTCCAGTCACTTTGGATGAGGACCCTTGCGCAACGAATAGGAAGTGCATCCGGACGCTATTAGCAGGAAACTGTAGCAAACATCTGGACGCAGCCTACGCTCCATGAGTCGACACCTGAATGGAAGGGGCTGTAGCAGAATGAAGTCTCGATGGAAACAGCATGCATCGACTGACCATGACCGAGAAGCACGCCTGACCATCTGCAGAAGTTTCATTCTGCGACCATATAGACAGACATTCCCTAGTTGGTCACCAGTGCAGATGAGTCCACCACGATAACAACACGCGGCACGCCTTGGTGGCTACCTCGCAGCCTGGACCCACCATCTCACCAAAGCCCGAGCTCTTTCATCAGAGGATATTACCCCCGGTTCGTTGGATTCGCTGGGTATCCTGTTTTGAGAACCACTTCACTTTATGCAGACAAGCATTGCGAATGACCATGGAACCACTCCCAAAGTTGGCTGCAGCAGTGCGGGAGAACGGTTTGAAACGTCTCAAAATCTCCTTCCTCCGAATGAACGCCCGAAATCACATTGCAAAGATAACTCGCCACGTTTCGAGGAAACTGGCTGGACCACGACACCACATCTGTCGTATAGCCCTGACATTGCTCCATCGTACTATCACCTCCCCAGCTCCCTGAAGCAGCAGCTAGGAGAGAAAAGTCAGTAAATACAACCACCCCAAAAACGACCTCTCCGAGCTTTTCATCTCACAGCTTCACTCGTTCTGGGAGGAATGCATCCATTCGTTCCCTAGCAAATGGGTGCATATCAGTGATTATGATGGTGGTTATGTTTTTGATCAATTGTTTTTTAGGAAAGATAAAACTTGAAGAAATCAAAGTGTTGAAATTCGGCCAGAAATTATGGGTCAACCCAATAATTGCTGAATAAAATTTGCAAATTGCATTTGCAAAAAGCAATTGGGAACTCCAAACGAATAGGTGCAATTCAAACTTGAACCACAAAAAATTAAATAAACATGTTTGAAATCTGTAACAAAAGGTAAAAAGGAAAAAGGACTTGATGAAAGTGAAACTATAATAGAATCGAATATTTGAGAAACTAAAGATTTTTAATTAAAAACTGCTGACTCACTGTAGTTGATCACCAGTGTATACATACCACTCGGCAGTCCATCTCGGAAACCGTCCACCTGAAACAGAAACCGTACTCGGATGAAAGAACCGGTTTCAAATATTATTCAAATATAATAAGGGCATGATCTTTCGGATAGTTCAATAGGCTCCTCGTTGTCAAAAAACTCATTACGAAAAAAGATTTACCCCCCACATTGGAAAATGAGGAGTGCATCGAGCTCAGACCCACACCACAAGTGACGCGGACATCAGCAAGAAAAGAAAAAGCCACTTTTCATTGGTCGTCGTCACTTGTGGTGTGCGATCCGCACCCTACGCTCATTTCGTTTTCTGGAATGGAGGGTATCTTCCTCGAGAGAAATGTGCCGCTTTCAATTGGTCCAAGATTGCCACAAGAAGCAAATTCATCATACCTCTCTATCCAATATCCTGTACATTTTCCGAAAATGCGGTAGCGCAGATGTTCCCCATCCACATGATGAAGTCAATATTCTCAAAAGGCAACACCGACACCTGGAGCACCCGCTCCAAGCTTGCACACGTCTGTTCTGCCACCAAGGCGGGCGTGCGGTGTCCTGAATGGCAAATGCATGGGCGATCATGGCCGTATTTCAAAGGTGAAAAGTGGAGGAATAATACCGACCAAGAATATATTGATTGGCTTATTTGGGTTTAGCATTTACATTGGTACTACGAAACAGGAATTTTGCGAGAAAATTTAAAATTGTTTCTCATCCTATAAAAACATTTTTCGAAACTGCCCCCGTTGTATATTGGTATAGCCATTTTTTGAGTACCCCGAAAAAACTCGCAGAAAAATTCTCCAGAAAACATTTTACTTTTAAAAAATATTATTTCATAAAGATTCAGGCCACTTCGAACTTGGCTGATAGCTATGGAAAAAGAGGAAATTGAATTTTCGAGAATCTTTATTAGTGGTTCCATTAACTGTAGGAAGGCACTAACCCGAAAAGCATCACAGAGCGTTTCGTTCCCAGTAGGGATGGGATTACGGAATTTTCTTTTCTTAACCTTCTCAGAGATCATCGACCGAGTTGTAAACGGTACAGCTGTGGAAGCATCTCGTTCTCCGTGAAGAAGGAGTTGAAAACTGTCTAAAAAAGAAGATCGTCAATTTTTAAATACATATCTTTTCCACAATTTACAAGCAATCAAGCAGCTGGCACTTCCACAGCACTTTGCAGGATATTGAATGAATTGTGAAAATCGAATTTGAGAACGAAGAAAACTTGAGGATCAACAGGCTGTAACCTTAATCCTGTGTTTCCTCAAACCCACCGTTGAACATCGAATTCGCGATGAATCCACATGGGGCATACGTGATATTATGAAAACCGTCCAGATAATCCAATGGATCGCAACCGGACACCTGAAGTTACTGAGTACAAATTGAAATACTGACTGGTGTCGTGTTTTCGATAAAACAATTCAAAAAGGAGGGGAAAGCCCAGAGAGAAGAGAAAACTTTAGCCTTATCTAAAGTGCAATCTTCTGCAAGCAGGACTTTTTTTCGGTATTCTTCCTATGTTTATATGGTTGAATGTTTATCGTCTCCGTTCAATAATTGGTGACGCGGGGAAAGAGGCTACAACTGCTAAGGCTACGGGTCGAGATTAGGTGCCAAGAATTAGTCCCTACTAGAGTGAGAGAGGGGGATTCCCACTCCCAAGAGGCTCGATACTGCCGCGACCCAAAACGCAGAGCTGTGTGTCTTCTTCACAACACGGCCGAACTCACGGGGAACTCCAGTGTTTTTATGGCGCTTTTTGCTTTTTCACTAACGTTTTTCGCTGCACTTCCCGTTATCTAATTTTCGAACAGTATGATACAACATTGCAATAAAGATATGTGCCTCTAAACTAAAATTTGAATAGCCCATAACAAGAAATTTACAACTATCGCTTATTAGCTAATATAATAGTAGTAATGATAACTTGACATAAGTACTTATACTAAAAAAGTGCAAAATATCAGTTACGCATTACAGAATAGTAAGTTCTGTAAATCATCAGAATTGACCGACTTCGCTATTATGAGTCTTCAGCCCGTTTTTGCTGTCAGTGTGAAAGCCACCGATGGAAGGGGCATGAGCCTCATGGAATTCTTAAGGCAGCGATTACGATAAAGAGGGAGCGCATCGGGGAAGCATATGCACCACACGAATCAGTTACTTGGCTGCCAGGGAAGCGAGGTGTAGCGCTTTCACGACGAAAGGTGCGCTGGTTGCTGAGCAGGACTTCGAAAGCACTCCGCCCCCAAAAGCGATCCGCCCACTAGTTTAGTTGGTGATTTGGACGAGCTGCGTTGCCAGCAGCGGCACAACTAAAGCAACTCGACTGTAGAAAGAAGATCTATGACGAAGCGGAGCAATATACCACAGTCGAAGAGCTCAAACTCTCTATCTCGATGCCTGGAGAAAATCAGATCCCAATTCGGTAGGTAGTTCTGTTGCGAGTGTGCCAAGACACATCAATAAAGATAAAGGATAAAGCATTTGCCGTTGATCAATCCCTTTTTGGGATGCGGCACGCATTCTACTTCCATTTGTACATTCGTAGTGGCGTTTGAATGCGATGTGGCCTATACAATGACTTGCGGGGGCCAGCCGATGTACAAGTCAGTGTTTTTATCCTCCCAGACAAGTCTGGTACCAATTAACCGACCCCGGAGGGATGGAAGGCTTGGTTGGCCGGGCGACTCACGACCCAGGATTTGATCCCCGGACCGCTCGCGTGGTAAGCGCGCCACTTGCCACTACACCACTTCGTTTGAAAGCTAAAGGCCAAAAAGGGAACCCTGTTTTGCGTTTTCTTGACGGATTTCTCCGCTTTTTCGCCACTGGCGTACCACTGAGCACCACCAGTCTCCTATAAACCCTTCTTGAATCTATCGTAATCACTGCTTTTAAGTTCCGCATTTTACACCGATAAATTCAGTGAAAACGCGGGCAACTATCCCAATTAGCAAAGATTCAAATAAAATTAAATAAATCATTAGTTTTATAGCAATTTCTTTTGACAGTTCATTTCTTTTTCTTAATTTCCACCCTGCCCCAGTCATCTAACGCTGGGACTCAGACAGTATTCCAGGGTCCATGCCGAAATCGGGTCCTTGAACATTGCTCAAACATTGCATACATCTAGAATGGTTGCCTTATTTTTCATCCGCAAGAACGAAAATTTGGTCTTGTTTCTGGACACCGCAATTTATTGCAAACTTTCTAACATACATAGCATACATTCAACTGATGCTATGATAGGAATGGAAATGGAATGCATGGCGTACACTCAACAAAAACTGACCATTTACTTTCCATTCATTGTATATAATTTCTATCAAATATATATCACTAAATCGAAAAGTTGAATAACAAAAATCCACAATTTCCTCACCGACCTTGTCAAGATTTCCTAGTAATTGCAGATCATTGCGCGATTCAACATATAACCGGTTATTTTGATAAAATTCTCGAAGTCCATAGTAAAATTTGACGTCTCCCTAAATGATTTTTGCAGCAACGGACAAAAAATCTACAACCAAATGATAAAAAGTTACTGTGTAATTTTCAGTAATAGCGAAAGAAATATGACACACACGCGTAGACCGTCCGGATAAGAAAAATCTTCGATCTGATCAGCAGAGTATCCAATGCTAGTCGTGCAATTACCGTAATCAATAACGAGTTCCAACGCTAAATAGAGTGAAAATTCGCTTTCCATCAGTGGAAATTCCATAAAGATGCAATACTCTTATGCTTTGCATCGTTACAAGAACATAAAACCATCATTCTTTTAAATGATTATACGAAGTTTAAGGGCGGAAGTGGTGTAGTGACAAGTGGCGCGCTTCACCACGCGAGCGGTCCGGGGATCAAATCCTGGGTCGTGAGTCGCCCGGGCCAACCAAGCCTTCCATCCCTCCGGGGTCGGTTAATTGGTACCAGACTTGTCTGGGAGGATAAAAACACTGACTTGAACATCGGCTGGCCCCCGCAAGTCATTGTATAGGCCACATCGCATTCAATGCCACTACGAATGTACAAATGGAAGTAGAATGCGTGCCGCATCCCAAAAAGGGGATCAACGGCAATGCTTTTTATGCTTTATGTGGAGGTTTGGTGATAGTGCTGCAGTGGCCACTTCATTTACCATAACCCCAGTCAGACAAGGAAATCCCTTCTCAAATCTCCTCAGGTCAGCGAATCTTGGGGAGACCTGTTGGCTGTTGCGAGGAGTTAACGGCATCAATTTACACCTTGCCTTCCGTACAGTTTCTTCCAACAAATCAGGTCCCGGTGAGCCTTTGCGCATCCTCGGACTTGAGGATGTTGCAAACGAGAGAATCAGCCGGATTGAGATCCGGCGAACTGAGATGTAATTCACCATCATTTGCATTTACCGTGCGGGATTCCAGCGGAGACGCTCGTTTCCTTCTCAATGCTGGTCATTGTAAGCAAGGAAATTTGTTTTAACTTCCTGGTTGAACAGAATAACCCCCGATTCTGTTGACTCCTAATAAGTCTTAAGAATCTTTTGATGCTTCTACACGACGAGATGCATAAGTCGATCGCTTAAAACCTTTGACGATGTGAGTCGACGTTTGAAACGCGGCAGGGCATTGATCTCATTGATCTAGTGAAATGGCGGAATTTTTGTACTTCTTGGAAGAGAGGAACATTAATGAATAGAACAAAAAAAGAATTCTTCTTTAGCAAGCCAGCACCTTAGCAGTGAAAATTTTCATGTCCATGCATGAATTAAGTATTTTTGTACCACCCTGTGATCAGCTAAAAAATATTTCCAAAAAAGGCTCAATGGCTTGTTGTTTTAGATACGAAATGTGGTATTTGGGGTTCCATAACTTCAGCCGCTTGACAATTGCCAGGCACTTTTTTGTCCATTAATGTCACGAATGTTTTTATTCACACGGGCGTGCTGGAATAGAAAACGGTGTCCCATGAAGGATAAAAAGGATGAAGCACTTGCCGTTGATCAATCTCTTTTTGGGATGCGGCACGCATTCTACTTCCATTTGTACATTCGCAGTGGCATTTGAATGCGATGTGGCCTATACAATGACTTGCGGGGCCAGCCGATGTACAAGTCAGTGTTTTTATCCTCCCAGACAAGTCTGGTACCAATTAACCGACCCCGGAGGGATGGAAGGCTTGGTTGGCCCGGGCGACTCACGACCCAGGATTCGATCCCCGGACCGCTCACTGGTGACCAACACTACTTGCCACTACACCACCTCTGCCCGTACGGTGTCCTTCAAAGTACCAAAAACTCACATTCTTCCACAGCGAATTTCAATACAATCCCTAGAGCAAGGCATATGACACCAACAGCGGTTGTCCATGGAAAAGCATTGTAGGCCGTTAGAACAGGTCTGTACGATGGAAGCCGCTGCTGTCTCCATGCGCTGTCTGAAAAAAAGACAGTTGTCAGTTCCAAAGGGTGGGCCATCCTTCAAGCCAAAATTAAAGCCGGAACCTTAACTCCTACCTTTCGG